GTATGGTACCAGGAATTTATTTCTTCCTATTAATTACTCTCATTAAAAGAAAACCTCTAATTAATAGAAAATAAAATATTAAAAAAACATCAAAATTATGAAAATGCAGAGAAGAAAAGTATTTCCTTGATCAATTTCATTATATTTGTAACATATTATAAAATTTAAGTATGGTACCAGGAATTTATTTCTTCCTATTAATTACTCTCATTAAAAGAAAACCTCTAATTAATAGAAAATAAAATATTAAAAAAACATCAAAATTATGAAAATGCAGAGAAGAAAAGTATTTCCTTGATCAATTTCATTATATTTGTAACATATTATAAAATTTAAGGAGAAGGGGAAGGGGATAGGATCATGGGTCTCCACCAAGCTATATTCTAGAGCTCTCCTTTCTTTTCTAAAATTAAAGTATAGAGAACCTTGTTGCCGTCTCTCACGTGCATCTAAGCCTCTTCCTTTTGAGTTTCTCTCAGTGTTTTTCGAGCTTTCTTTTCGTGTTCAATGTTTTTATGCCTTTCTTTACTTGTGTCCATTGAATGGCAAAAGGGTGTCTATTTATAAGAAGGGGGAAAACAAGTTATTGCCAAGTGATGAAAAGAGATTGGTCGGGAAGTTATGATAATCTCCTTATCGAAATTTTCTATTGCATCTGTTCACCACTGACTTATCATCTTTGTCTTTCAAATATTATGTCTTTATCATGCTTAGTTTTTTGTTTTCACTTATCATAAGTATTATGAAAAATTAACATAAACCTTATATTGAACCACAATGACAATATCATAGACATATTATTTGGCGTCATGAATGTGGGGAAGGGTTCATATTTTCCTCATGATTAAATTGAGGTGAGGGTCTATATATGTATTTGTATTATACTTAAGTTGTTTTGTTATGCATACCATGATAGATGATGAGGTGTGTATTTGTATTATTTTAACAGATGACGTCTCACCATCAAGTTCCATTTCAAGTGAGATAATGCTCTTCCTATATTAAGTTATATTGACCAGGCTTATTGAGCTCAAGATGATGTCAAAGTATACCAAATTTGACATGCATTAGGGAGAGACATGTTTCATTGACTTGCTTAATATAGAGGGCCTATCTACCCTTAAGTTGATTTTTATTATTCATTATATGAAATGTAAGCTTTCAGCAGTAGATTGAAGTCAACAATATTATTAAAGGGTGTTAGGCTCCTTAATTAATTTGACTTGTGGCTTGTTTAGAGATAATTTTTTTGACATCTACAATTTCCTCTCCTTAAGACTTACGTGCTAGGGTTTATATCAAGAGTGTGAATCCAAGTATTTTTCTTATCTTCACAAAATATTTGTGATAGAGAGATTTTTTTAAATTTAATTTTTTGGCATATTTCTCATTAGCTTTTATGGATGATAAAAACGTTCACCTCAAAGCTACGCCTAAGTCTATTTTTGCTTTTTTTTATGGCATCTGACGATTTATGGCATCTGACGAGGCCATCAACCAAGCAGTATATTAACTAAATACAATATTTAAAACATCCAAGTCCCTTTACTTGGATAGCAAAGAATAAGCATTTAAAACAAGTTCTTGTTCTTTCTTCTTCCAACTTATCTTTGTTTACTGGTTGTTATGGACTAAATCCTAGTTTTAAACAATTTTAACATTAGTCCACTCATTTTTTAAAACGGGAATTTTTATTTCGGTAAAATTGTTATATAAGACATCATATTTATAAGAGGATAGTATCAAATTTTGGAATAGAATACAAATAGAAATGGAAACTAAAAGTGAAACAAAGTCTAGTCCTACTATGGTTAAGATTTTATATCGTATATACAACTCCTCCCTCTCTCAACTTTATTTTTATGCTTTGTTCTCTATTCGAAGAAATCTGCAGGTATTATATTTTTTTTTCTTCTTCTTCCTTCATTTTTCCTTTCTCCCCTTTCTGTCTTCTTCCTTTCTCTCTCTTCAGTCTTCTTCTCTTTCCTCTCTTTCTTTCTCTTCCATCTTTCTTCTCGCCGTTTTATTTTCCTCTCTTTCTTCTTCTCTCTCCTCTTCCTCTCTCGTCTATCTTCTTCTCTCTTCCATCTCTTAATCCACAATTATTTACTTCTCTCCCCTTTTTTTCGTCCATGATATTGGCCATCATGGTTCAGTATAATGCTTATGTTAATTTCTCATAAATCTTATGATAAGAGAAAATAAAAGTCTAAGCGTGAGAAAACATAATAATTGAAAGACAGAGATGATAGTTTGGGAGTGATAGGTAGCTGTAATAAAAAGTTTTAGTAAGGGGGTTATCATAACTCCCCAACCAACCTCTTTTCAACACCTGATAACAGCTTCCTCTTCCTATAAATAGTCACCGTTTTTGCTATTCAATGGACACAAAAGAAAGGCAAAAAAATACCGAGAGAAACTCAAAAGAGAGAAAGGCTTACAAGCGTGCGACAGACGACAACAAGGTTCTCTGCACTTTTATTTTGGAAAAGGGAGGATGACTCTAGAATATAGCTCCCAAGATCCCATCTCCTTCCCCTTCTTAAACTTTGTAATATGTTACAAATTAATGAAATTGATCAAGAAAATATTTTTCTTCTCTGCAACTTCCATAATTTTGATGTTTCTTTAATATTTTATTTTCTATTAATCAAGAGTTTTTCTTTTAATAGAAGTAATTAACAGGAAGAAATAAATTTCTGGAAACATGTAAACTGCCCTTTTTTATAATCAAAGTGAAAATAATATATATTTAAGGAGAATTTTTTTTAGATTGCTCCACTCTCCTTGAGATCAGTGACATAGCCCATTCAATGTGAGATTAGTCCACTCAAATATAATTTCACCTATGATAAATACTAGCTTAAAATTTTTCTTTAAAAAATATTCGTCGGACATTCTGATGTCTACAAATAGTATAATTAACTCTTAATCATCTTGGTTAAATAACATTAATATTCTTATCAGTCAGGTCCCCCCTTGTATATTTTCCTCATTCCCATTCTCCCTCCTATCCTCATCTTCCCCAATCTCTCTCCTTTCTTTGGATTTTTTCCAAACCCCAATGTCTTTCTTTTATTCATAAGGCCATAGTTATCCAAAAAGAGAATCCTAACCGTAACACTAAAAATTGAATAACTACAGTTCAATCTAATAAGGAGGTGCTTTTTAAAAACACGTTACGAGATTTAAGGGTCTGATTTAGAAATATGAAGATTGGAGGGTCGAATATACAATTAAAGAATATGTCGGGGACTAAATATGGCATTAACCCTAATAAAGACATAAAGATTAAAACAAGTGTCCTTGATTTAGTAAATAGCAACAGATAATAGATTGATCGTGTTAAGGCATCTACCCTCAAAACAACCACAAACAGATTCGAAAAGAAATTCTCACTTTTCTCCAACGGCGAAAGCAACCAAAGACGACATATTGCGAGTGAAGAAGTACCGGCCGCCGGGCTGCAAGTCCCAATCATCAGTCTCATTAAGCAATTGAAATCCAGCAGCTATCAGTTGCCTCTTGGCTTCGGCTGCAAAAAATTTCTAGAAAATCAAAATTTAAACATAAAACCTTAAAAAAAATTAGGGTTAGGGAATTGGGGATCACCGGTGGCGTGGAACTGAGTCCAAGATTCGTTAAGGTAGTCCAACAAATCGCCGACTATAGACGAAGACGACGGAGAGCTGGAGCTCTCTGCGGCGGCGCGCTCCTGTTTAATTTAATTAAGATTATTATAATTGAATAAATAAATCGAGGGAATATAAAGAAGAAGAGGCAGAGAATATGGACCGTTCGATCTGAGGGGGAGCAGAGGAAGCGGAGCGCGGGAAATCTCTGGCGGCGGTTCAAAGGTAGGGCGGAGGAGAGGAGAGAAGGGCATTTTGGTAACAATGAAGGTGAGATTGGAGGAGGATGAGGGGGCCGGAGTAGATGGAGATGACGAGTGAGAGCCATCGAGTTTTTCGATTACGAGCAGGCTTAGCATCTTGTTCAGCTCAATTTAGCCTCTTATGGTGCCAGTGGAATAATTTTTTTTATTGGATTTTATCTGATATTTTGTCCCACGAATTTTACAATTAGTTCCCAACCTCTTTTCATATTTGAAATCAGTCTCCCAAATTTTAAAGTATTTTGAGATTAGTTTCCAAATCCTGTAGACATTTTGAAATTAGTCATTCTAGTTAGCTGGTGATTGAAGAATTTTGGCGACTAATTTAAGAAATTTGCAGGGCTAATGTCAAAACATTAATATATGTGACTATTCTCGAAACACTTACGAATTTGGTGGGCTGACTTTAAATATCAAGATTTCGGGTAGTAATTTAAAAACATGAAAGATTTAGGTACTATTATCAAAAAATATTTCGGATTTGTTTTCTTTTTGGATTAGGGGGTGTTTGGTTCAATTTCTAGAAATTATAGCAAATGTTTTCCACTTAAAATATGATTTCCTTGTATTTCTTAAAAAAATTATAGGAAAAGTTTTGAGAAATCAAAAAGTACCAATTTTCTTGTTTTTTGTACTTTGCTTGTTTGGTTCAAAACAAGAAAATAGCTCATAACTTTATAGAAAATAACAAGATTTGGTAGGTTTTTAATTAAATATGGTATGTGTCTGATTTCTGGTGATTTCCTCTCATTTTGAGAGGAAATTATTTTTTGTAAAATTTGGTAGGTTTTGATATTTTATAGAAAATATTTCTGTAAATTTTTTGTTGAACCAAACACAATTTACAGAAATCTATGGAAAACTTTTAATTACAAATTTGCCATTGTCAGATGTTTTGAGAAAAGTTTTCTCAAAAAGTGTGCAACCAAACAACCCCTTAATTTATCAAAAAATCTTTTTGGATTTGTTTTCTTTTTGGATTAATTGCTAATAGACCCCTTGCAATATGACTCAATTGCAACAAAACTCATTATAGTTCTATTTATCGCGAATAGATCATATGTAATTCTACTTGTTGCGAATAGACCTCCTATAATATTGTCTCAAGTACAAATACATCTCCTACCTAAAAAATTTTGACTCTTTGAAAAGCTAGTTTTTTTTTTTGGCAATTGGATGTTTATATCCTCAACTATAGAATTATAGGGGGACTATTCGCCTCCTCAAACATTTTTAATAATTTCGAGAGTTAAAAATAAATTCACTCAAAAGATCTATTCACAATAAGTACAAGTACAGGGAGTCTATCCGCAACAAATAAAACTGAGGAGGCTCTTTTCAATTGTATTAAGGGGGTTTGGTCACAATTAACCCTTGTGTTGATTAATCATTTGAATAATAAATAAGAAGGATTATTAATAACTAAATAGTAAAACGAATTTCATAGCTTTGACAATTTCTTACACTTTACCGATATTAAAAAATTTGTTCTTTAATTAACAGAAGAACGTTGCTAATAGCTTTGACGAAAAATATAGACGTCGCTCTGAACAAATGTCCCAAACTAGAACAATTTGTCCTACGGCTCGGAACAAAGTCAGCTTAAAATTTAAAAATGAATGCAAACAGATAACGTCAATGCTACAACGTCTACAAGTTTGGTGTCCAAAAGCTTAAGATAACTGTTCCCAATCGTGATCTTTTAAGCTTAGGCATTCAAAAACATGGGACCCTACACGGGACATGTGAGGTGTCGGCTTCTCATGATGCACTGTTCATAAACAGTACATCATGGGACAGAGAGCCGATACCGAACAATGCATTATGGGATAAAGAGTCGACACCTCACGTGTCCCATGATGCCATGTTTTTTGGTCATGTAGCACCGCCCTTCGAGTGATCAGGCCCTTAATCGGAGTTGGGCTTTTGCTGGGCCGGGGATGGGCCTATGAAGTCCGTTTCCTTCTCTCGTTTTTCTCCGTCGCTCACTCTGACTCCCCACGCTTCGCTCTCTCCTGCTCGATTTTATCCATCATGTTGGCGGGAGCGCTGCAAACCCTAGCTCCCAGGCCTTGGATCGCCACCGGGAGCGGAATTTTCCGGCGACGAATGGGCTGCTATCCCCCTTCTCTTCTCCGGTCTTCCGGCGATTTCGCCCTTCCTGCGAGTCGCCCATCGCTCATTGGCGAAATTCAACCAGTTTCTCGATCGATTAGGGCAACAGGAGGACCCGATCAGGTGTTCTACTCTCTAGATCCTCTTCACTCGATTCATTCACTCACTTTTAATATATTAAATATGATTTTCTTTGGCAAATCCGTGACTCTAACGATGAACTTATGAAATCGGTAGCATTGGCAAATTTTGAGCTCAATTTTTGCTTGCTATACTCTCAGAACTATGCAGATGCTATTAGTCTATGTTGTTTATTTTGCTGAAAGGATTAGGCTCTTGTTCTTCCCTGTGGAGGTTACTCTATGAGTCACTATGGTGGTATAGTTATTTTACCTAGTTAAAGCACTGAATTGATTGTTGTAACTTCAGAACCTAAGGGATTGGGTAGTTACATGAGTGTATTTATTTTGGACACTTAAACGCTCAACCCATAGAGCACTGATTTTAGTTATGCGGCCTTGCCGGCTTCAGAACAATATCAACACCTTAGTGTAGGATGGGTAGTGTCTAAGTGTCCCCAACTCTGCAAATCTCCTGGGGAAGCGCACATTATCCGAGCCCTTTTATCATGCTAGATAATGGTTGTGAGGTAAATGGATTTAGCTGCAACGTGTCACCGAAACTTAAAGCGAGTTGGCTTGAAATTTCTAGGCTGTGTTCCGCTTTAATTTGAGCGATGACCTGTTGGTCATAAACCAAGCCTGCCATACTGACCGACAATCTCCTTGGTTCTTTCCTGTCAATTTCAAGACCACAATGACTCAATCATCACTCCATCTCGTTGTAGCCATTTCCGAATTCCATTCCTCTATTACATATTTTTTAACTTTAGTGCATACCTTTTCCGTCTTTATATGTCTTAAGATAAGATGTACCATATGCATGTTGGAAAGGGCGTGATGCATATCCTCGACAGGTGTTCATACCTGGCTGGAGGTACATTTGTGTTTCAAAGTGAACCCACAAGTCTACTATTTGTTTCGTAAGTTGCATTTATGTGCTCTATGTGAAGGAAGATTATTCACACTTCAGGTTACTGATGGTGGGAGTTATTACTCCAGGGATTCCAGTTCTGCTAATGTCTCAAGTTGGACACGTGCTTTACTAAACTTTGCAGTAACCAACTTCCTCCCAATAGGTAATTCTATGTACTTGCTGATTTTTAAAACTGATTTCTGTAATGCCTTCTTATATATTTCAGTTATTTTGATGTTAGCCTTTATTGTGATTGTTTGGGCTCCTGGTTTTTCCTTCATCTTTCCTGTATGCTTGCTCTTGTCCATGGACTTGCATTACCGTTTCAAGTTTATTTATATTTTTATTTTGTATGTCTTGCAAGTATGACTACACATGGTTTTGCTGGATTTTGTTCCTCTCTAAGGAGCCTAAGGATGCCAGATAGTGTGTAAATATGAAAATCTTGAATTTTCTTGATATATCGTATACATCTTTAGATATATGTTAGGGACACAGACAAACTAAAAGTAACGCCTGCAAAGAAAAGAGACTGAGAAAGATGTTTTTTTTTTGGCGTCATAGTTTAACATGATTTTTAACTCCAAACAGAATGATTTAAAATGCAAGAGATACATTTATAAAAAAATTCAGTAATTTTTATGTATAGCATAACAAGTGACAAGATATTTTAGCCCAGTTTGGACAGTTATGCTATGCATATTTGTATTTATCTGTTTGTTGTAATCTTCATAACAAGATTGTTTTGGCCGGTGGATTCTTTTACTCTACAACATGCTGATGATCTCCTCTCTTTGGAGTTTTCTTGAGTGTGTGAATGTGTGATTAATATCTTATGACTACAAATCTACACGCTACTAGGTAATGCTAGATTGCTGATGAGATAATTAAGAACTGCTTCAGAAGTCTTCACATCTGATTGCTCTGTTATTTTCATTGTGTCTGTGTAGCTCTTATCAGCGGCATAATATTAGGGCTTGCAAATCCTACTCTTGGATGTGTTGCTCACAAATATTCATTATCAAGATTCAGCACCTTTGGTATTTTTGTCATTTCAGGTACGATTGAAATATCTTTTTTTCTTTCATGCTTATTCATCAAATAGCTAATATGCAAAACGTTATTCATGATGTAGGGCTCATGCTGCGAAGTGGGGAAATTGGTGCAGCTTTGGGCTTGTATGATTCATTATTTTTGTGTCTAATACTCAAAGAAGGTTTTTCCTTCTCAAAATTTCAATTTTACTTTACATGTTGATCTGCAATTTGTTTCCTAGAAAAAAGGCTCGTCAGTTTTTGATCATGCTTCAGTAGTGTCTGAAGTATTCACTTGGCGTGCCACATGACACTTGAAGGATATTCCTATTCTTGTAGATTATGTCTTACCCACAAAGGGAAAACTTATTTACTGTAGTATATTGTACAATCTTGATTGCAGTACTGCAATATTGTCAGACTCATAATTGATTAATCTACGTAGATACCTGTCAAATTAGGCCACTAAATGACCCTACTAAGGGTTGTTAAGTTAATAACAGTGATACTTTGCTTTGTGTTGGATGAAAGTACCAGAGACGAAAATGAAGGGAAGGAGATAATTGTCAATACATAATTTTTGAATCTTAAGAATCATGGAAAGACACATGACTTGACAATTTCTTTAAGGATAGGAAAATTGGTATACCTTGATAAGGAATTATCTTTACTTAACTACATCATAATATATGTATGAATCCATATGTTATGGAGAGTGCAAAATTACACACATTAATTAAGATGCAAAAGTATATCAGGAACTAATATTTACGTATTAAACTCCCACACATGTATTAACTTTGCATTTATCCTTTAGTTGCATAGCTTTATGTATCTGACTCCTTATATCACAGCATGTCATTGGCATTATAATTTTTATGTAATTCAACATTTTTTTGACCTCTTTAGATCAGAATATTGTCTTTGATATCATGATATGTAATGAGTAAATAAATATGTTAGCATGTAGTTAGTGTGACGCCCCAGGGTTCATATAAGGCTGCAGTCCCAGATAAAACCCGGATTGTCAAACCTGCCAAGCACCAACAAGTTCCATCAACCTGCGACTCTCCGTGCGCCAGACTCGCTGCCTGAAAGGGGGGAAAACAACGAGCGTCAAAGCGCTAGCGAGATCATCACTACCTCTCCCCAGGGGAAGGGGTAGGAGTATATAAGAAAATAGAGTCAGTACATACATATATCAAATCATTCATATAACTCTCTATGAATGAAAAACAAATAATCAATGATAAATACTCCAATCTCCAACATAAAGAATAATCATCTTATCTCGAATTACGTCCGAGTGACCTGCTCTAATATAAGAGGATACCAACTAAGCTAAAACAAATATATCTGCCGTTCATAACGGGTGTATCAAATTCTCAAAGGAAAATACCCTACTCACGGGCAATCTATCTGGGAAGTAAAACTTACAACTGATCAATTATCTATGTGTGCATCATCTTGTACTATAGCGATACTTTTGTAATGCTCGTTACTCAATCGCTCTGCGACAATAGGATTTATTATTTTCCTATTCCGGATGCATATAATAACGATACTGTTGTAATACTCTTACTCAATCATTCTGCGGCAAATAGGTTTTATCTCCCTATTTTCGGATACATGAAATAACGATACTATTGTAATACTCTTTTTATCTCCCTATTTTCGGATACATGAAATAACGATACTATTGTAATACTCTTACTCAATCGTTCTGCGGCAAATAGGTTTTTTTTCGGATACATGAAATAACGATACTATTGTAATACTCTTACTCAATCGTTCTGCGGCAAATAGGTTTTTATCTTCCTATTTTTGGATACATGAATTAACGATACTTTTGTAATACTCTTACTCAATCGTTCTGCAACAAATAGGTTTCATCTTTCTATTTTCGGATACGTGTAAAACATCATTATTCATATGTGTTTATCAATTTAACTCGTGTCAAAAGTGTGTCAATCTAACACAATATAGCATACATGCACAAATCTTGGTGTGCATGTCCACATCTGAAGTTCACCATCATCCCAGGTATTAAACAACTCTTAATCATTATAATATAACAGTACAAGATTGAGAAACTCTCTTAAAAATAACAAACAAGAGCAAAACTTAAGAAAACATTTACGTAATATATCAATTTATTTCAAATCAGCACATCTGCAGTTTTCTGCAGAACATATCATTAGTAAATTGAGAATATCTTTCTCTGGACAAACTCTTTTTAAGAATAGTTTTTCGTTTTGGAAACTAGACTCACATAGCTATCATTTGACACTGATTTGGCTCAGTTTGGAGTTTGGAGTTCATATGATATTTCTAATTTCCAGTCAAACATTTTATATGTGCAGCAGATTTTTTGCAGGATATATCATCAGTAAAATGAGCATATCTTTCTCTAGGAAAACTATCTTTAGGTATGGTTTTCTGTTTTAAAAACTAGATTCACATATCTTTCAATTGGCATTAGTTTGGTTCAATTTGAATTTCATTTGTTATTTCAAATTTCTAGCTCAAAAGTATATATGTGCAGCAGATTTTCAACAGAACATAACAAGCATGATTATTTGCACAAGAAATCATATGTAAACCTTCAATCATGCACGAAACTTTAAAACGACGAATAAGACATCTAAATTCAGATAAACAATATTTTAAATTATTTTCAGATCTTAAAATACTTGTGTAAATTCGTGCTTAATCTCTTTAACATGAAAAAACCTAGTCTTTATACATATATACAAAAGATCCGATTTTTAAACACAAATTAATTGATGAGGCTCTATAAAACTCATTAAAAACTTTTTAAAAATATTTTAAAAAACTGGGAGGGGGATTAGTAGAGATGATACTCGCCTGGGGTTGTAGGAAAACTTGTTAGAAGCAACGTCGAAGGAGATCTCCACTCTAAAAGCCAAAAATCAACAAAAACCCAACTTGAAAGCCTCCAATCTTCTCCAAGAATTCAAAATAGGGTTTATGGGGGTTTGGTGGCTGTTAGGGTTCTTAGATATGATAAAAGGAAGGAAGGAATTTTCGTGAAAAAATGCAGGTATTTATAGAAGCAAACCAGAAACAAACCTGTTAGATCCGAACCAGGAAACCTAGTCTGACTAGGAAAATACCCCTTCGGTATTTTAACTGTAACTTTCTCATCCGACCTCAGAATGAGGTGATCTAAGACTTATTGGAAAGCTGTTGAAGAGACCTACAACTTTGGTCTTTTACACTTTTCCAAATTCTAACTACATCGGTGTGCAAAACATAAAAACTCATAACTGGTTATTATTCCCAGATTTTCACTCTTTTGGCCTTTGTGCATGTTTTGTGCATTTGCACTCATATTTTCACAAATATATATTGAATTGATCTCAAATCAATTCTTATCATATCCAAACATCAAAATATATTATTTTTCGCCATATAACATATTTATCATTATTTATCATAAAATATTCAAATTTACGGGGTTTTACATTCTTCCCACCTTAAAAGAATATCGTCCCCGAAATTTCACAATCGCATCTCAAAGCTTAAATACTGGGAAAACACAAAAAGAAGGTGTAATTCATATTAAGAATTCCTTCTGCACCCATCTCATAGTATTAGCACAATGATATTTAAAGTTAACAACCTAAAATGCAAACATTCTCCCCTAAATCACTAATTAAACGAAATTGGTATGTCGAGCGAAATAATCCAAACAAGAAAACCCTCATGTATATGCCATATGTTTCAAATGATTAAGGATCAGGTGATAATATCTCCATTCTAGTGTTAAAGATAAATATAAATGTGACTAAACAACATAGATAAAGACTACTATCAAAGCATATAAGCATAAGAATTTATCAACATCATACATGTCCAAACAGGTGTGGGTAGTCGCGACGAACATCAAGAAATCTCTTCGGCTCCTTGCCGGTTCCACTGAACTTTCACTAATGGAATGACTTTATTCCTAAGCTTTTTATTCTCTCTAGCAAGTATGCATACCGAAATCTCTACGGTAGTCAAGTCATCCTAAATCTCAATCTCTGGTGAATCAATCACTCTCTGTTGCTCATCATCCCGCAGATGCTTCTTAAGTATCAAAACATGAAAGACATCGTGTATACTCGACATCGATGCTGGAAGATCTAACCTGTAAGAAACAGCTCCAATGCGCTCGATGATCCTGAAAGGACTAACATATCTCGGGACAAGTTTCCCCCGTCTACCGAATCGATGAACGCTCTTCATCGGTGATACTTTCAACATAACTGAGTCTCCGACCTGGAACTCTAAAGGTCGTCTCCTCTGATTTGCATAGCTCTTTTGCCGACTCTGCGCCGTAAGAATGCGCTCTCGAATCAATGCCACCTTCTCTGTGGTCTGTCTAACTAACTCTGGACAAATCAATAAACTATCCTCTGGCTCTGCCCAACATTTAGGTGATCTGCCAGGTCTCTCGTACAAAGCTTCATACGGTGTCATCCTGATGATAGCTTGATAACTATTATTATATGCAAATTCAATCAGTGGGATGTGATCCTCCCAGCTACCCTGAAAATCCATAATGCATGCTCTCAGCATGTCCTCTAAGATCTGATTCACCCTCTCGGTCTGACCATCTGTCTGGGGGTGAAAAACGCTGCTAAATGACAACTGACTGCCAAAAGCATACTGGAAACTCCTCCAAAAATGAGATGTGAAGCCTGAGCCCCGATCTGATACAATCGTCTCCGAAACTCCATGCAATCTAACAATCTCCCGAATGAAGATCCTCGCATACATATCTGCCGTATAAGTCATCCTCACTGGTAAGAAATATGTAGACTTAGTCAATTTGTTCACTATAACCCAAATAGAATCATTTCCTTCCTTTGATTTAGGCAACCCCATTATAAAATCCATGGAAATATCTGCCCACTTCCACTCAGGAATGAGTAAAAGCTGTAGGGTTCCTGCATGTCTCTGATGTTCTGCCTTAATTTGTTGGCAGGTACAATACTTAGCCACATAATCTGCAATCCCTCTGCGCATACCACTCCATCAAAAATGCCTCTTCAGATCCTTGTACATTTTCCTTGTGCATGGATGTACTGTATATCTGTTACGATACGCCTAAACTATCGTAAAATAAGCCATACCCTCCGGGTCTGCATCAAAACACCTCGTAGTCCTGCTA